ATTTATTCATCTGTTTTGTAAATTATTATAGTATGTGTTCTGTTGATCTTTAATTAATTAATTTACAAAACAGATGAATAAATTGAAAAACTTGCATTGTAATATAAAGTAGTTTTAAAGGAAAAACCTGAAGATGATGCTACGCATCGAAACATGTAGTAAATGAAGGCGCAGTATTGTAACATCGTAGTAACGATGAATAGCGCAAATTTTAAATTTTAACATCTGTAAATAAAGTTTGTGTATAGACCTGAATTATATTATATATTTTAATAATATTACCAACAGGCATTTTCAATGAACGGTTAATGCAAACGCAGCCTGAGCCTTTTTGTACATGGTTCATAAGCTAGCATCCAGCCGACCGGTATACCGATTAAGTCTCACACACTCATTTGAGAAAGGCGGGGCTGTATGCGAGGTGCTTGCAAAAGCCCCATGTTCATTTTCACCTAAATATATGAGCCCTCTATCGGTACAGAAAATATCAGAAATGGGTAACACACCAAAATCAAAATGAAGATACACTCACCTTTCCCCTCTACTTCAAAACGCTAAAATGGAGGAAAAAATCTTGCTGGTGCAAGCCCCATTCAAATTGACAGCACAACCCTGCCTAAAGTTAATTTCAATATTCACAAACATTGCTACTCGACATCATCCTGAGCCAGATTAATCCATTCCACACCACCACATCATATACAAGATGTTTCAATATTTTCCAATACTGGGGATGCTGCAAACGCCCCGTTCTTCAGGTGCCTGAGCACTGCGGGTCCCAACTTTTCGTTGGCTTGATCTATAGACACTTGGCAGGACTCCTTGGACGAGGGATCGGCCCGTCGCAAGGCCTCTACCTGTACACAGGACAAACAACCATGGCTTGAGTGGGATTCGAACCCACGGTCCCAGCGACCAAGCGGCACAAGGCCCACGCCTCAGACCGCGCGGCCTATTTTCCAATATTAAACATAAATTTTTTGAGTGGCCTTTTCCCTCCCAGGTTTAAAAAAAAAATGTTACACATTCTTTGAAAGCAGACCTTTTATTTTCATCAACGTACAGGGTAAACACATCTAGATTGGTTCCAACTACAATATGGACTAAGACATTCATAAACGCTATATACAACAACAAAGGAAATAGGACGTCCCCTAAATCTCATCTTTATCACCAATCATCAGTCCTTCGTGCAGTATCACAGCATAAATTCAATTCCACTCTGCTATTAGCTGAAAATCATCAAGAATTATTTCACACAATTAAATCAAGTATACAACTTTTACCTATAATATTTTTTTTTTACGTTTCTGGCTATACTCACGGTAAAAAAAAAACCGTAACAAGCTGGTACATTAATATTATTAATTAGTGTCATTTACTACAGCCTGCGTGCTTCTGAGCGGCGACCACTTCTTTTGCTCCGAGTCCTTCCTCGCTCAGTTTCTAACCAGTTTCGCCGGCTTCTTTGCCTTCCAGACTCTCTCCCGACAATGTTCCAGGGCCTAAGAAATAAGACACGCCATTAGCATCGAACGTCGATCCTGCTTTTGGGCACCTGCACTGTGCTTAAAAAATCAGTAAATATTACCCAAGAATAAAAATTTCCTCAGATATTATCCATCACCTAAGAGATAAAATATAAAAACGACGTTTCGGAGATGGGGCTCTATCTCCGTCTTCAGGTACCTGCTCAGCTGGGCCCGATAGAGCTAATCCCCGTCTCCGAACAACGGATAATATCCAATGAAATTTTTATTCAAATGACTCGCCATCATCACAAACTTTTAGATTTAAAACAGTACCAAGTTTACGCGTCACAGAGTACAAACATCCCTGCGTGTTCTAAACCCGGTCACCTACTACGTATCTTCTTATTCACGTCTCCTTATCGCTTTAAATCCCCCCCCCCACTTCAATTATTAAGCTGTGGCCTACAGTACTCGACAATACAAGAGGTAACGAAAATGAGGCTTACATCGCAGGACTTGGCATGGGCCACGGACTGACACCAGTAACCCGGCCCCCAAACACAATTCTTGCCTCCCAGCAAGTGCACAGTCTGCTTCTCCCATCTGCACACGCCGATCTCATAGCACACCAGGCGCGGATTCGCCACTTCCGACACCAAGTTCAAGATGCTCGGACCATACACGTCGATCAGCTGATTGCACTGAAAGGCGGAAAGAACCATAGAATCACAGTCATCTTTGCGTTCGCACACGACAGGAGAATGTTGCGACAAGTAAGTACAGCCTCCACAAAAGTTGAAAAACATTTCCAAAGACTGGCTACAGGAACAGGAATTTACATGAAAGAATTAACCAAAAAAAACAAACAACAAAAAAAAAACAACAACGAATAATGTACTAGTTCCTTGTGATTTCATTATAAGGACATTTAATAAATATGCGATTTCATTCCGTCGTCGACGCCTTACCTCGTCTCGATCCTGTGCGGGAAGCTTGGGACAAACTTTCTTCAGCAACTTGTCCACATCCTTCTGCAAGTTTGGGTCCCCAAGAAGCTCATCAAAAGCTCCCATTGACGCTTCACATACCGCGCACTCCTTCACAGACTTCTTTATGGATTCTGACACAGCAAACACAAACAGTTGAAACAATGTTTTAAAACACTTGTCGTTAGTTAACGTTACGAAACCTGAAGGTCCGTCACTAAAACCTCATTGCGAAAAATGTACTCACCAATCAGAACGGGATGTTTGGAATTTGCCCCACTGCAGATCTTAATAGCAGAACAGACTTCCTTAGGGTCGAGAGACTGGGCAAGCAAGGCGATCACCACGTCACCATACGTTTCAACAAACTGCCTGCACTGCCTCACCACAGTTTTGGGGAGTACGTTACATACATTTTCAACATATCCCTTTATTTCCTCCTGAAATTTGTAAAACACGGAAACCTTCAACAGAGATTTACGCCCTTTCAGTGTCTAAACCTGAAGACACACAATTCATCACTACTGCCGCATTTATAATTTTAAATTTTGAACTCTAGCATGTTCCAGTACGTGAAAATATTTTCACTCACTCTTGGTCTGTTTAACAACGCTTTCGACCGGTTAGACATACAGCATAAAATATGTTGATCAGTGAATAATGAAATGGAAATGACGCGGAAGGAAGCAGTCATGACCTAAATAAGGCACTGTCCCGGTAATTGCCTCGAGGTACCGAGGAAATCCATGAAAAATGTTGATCTCGATAACTAGTCTCTGGACCAAAATTTTAACTCTTGTCTTCATGACGAACTAATCGAGCTGATGAATTTAGACTGGCAAATAATTATTTCTAGAATCAACTTTAAATTTCTGGTAAAGAAAACAAAAGAAATATTTTATCTACAGAAAAATTACCAAAAAACACATAATGGACTGGAGTAAGCGCAGACTTGGATATGGTGACACGGCAGTCGAAAGACCGACTTTGTATGCCCGTGTGGGGGATCGCAGCGCGTTTCTACCTCAACCGCACTGATTCGTGATGTTCGTTTCAGAACACGCAGCTAGTGAAGAATTTATATTAATTTCCTCACCTCTGTTGCACCATCTTTGAGTTCCTCATCGATCTTTGACAGGACAAATTCACATAGCACGCACACAGTCGAATCTTTAAAAGAAGCCTTTGCCGCTTTGGCCATCGCGGTATTCCTACGTTTTTGAGGTGCCGCTGGAATCTCATTGGACACTGCAAAGGAAAAATTAATAATTTTCACGGCCTAAGAACAAGAAAGCTGCTTTAACAAAACAATGTTACATGAGACTTCAACGTCCAAAGAAAAGGAGGGTAACGTTATGATGTTTTGCTACGTTAGTAACATTTTGAAAAATTAGTTCTTGTTTCATACTTTCACCATTTCCATATTTTTTCCTTATCAAAATAATTCAGAGAACCTGAAGTTTTCTATTTTATTATACGGAGTTCTGAACACCGTAATGATCACAATTCAACTATCCACATAGCAGCATGGCGTTTTTTACAATTTGAAGTCTCCGATGGCAGATACTAAAAATTTTTTCCCAAGAACATTGTAACACACACTCTTATATATACACTACACGGTGGTTGCGACTTACATATTTCTGGAACTGGAACTGGCGTAGTCAGTCTTTCCTTCATGGTTGGATCACAGAGTTTAAGGTAAGTGCAAATTTGCTTTGGCGTGAAATCAGCAAGGAACATTTCCACCAACTGTTCTTCGTACGTATTTACAAACTCTTCGCACTCTCCAACTACAGATTTTGGCAAATCATCACACAGCAAATCTAGCTCCCGCCTTATTTCTTCCTGCACAATGACCAAGCCAAATAATTTATACCACACAAACCCTTTACACAAAATTAGAAGGAGGGCTTGCATTGTGAAATATATAGAAATCGAATTAAAACCAAATGAAATTTGAAGATGACCACTTTCTGGGATGGTGCACCATGAAGTCTGGTAGAAAGTGCCCAACATTTCAGAGGTGTTTAATGACAGAAGCACGGTCGACTTACAATTGTCGTGCAATTACTTAAATACATATGAAGGAAAATGTCCGAACATATGCATCAGTTTAAAGAGATACCTTAATCAAAAACATTTTGACTAAACTTACGCTGTCTTGCAACATGAATCTCTTTAGTATAAAACAGCCGAAGGTACTATATGAATGCATAACACTGTTTAGATGTCGGGGGGGAGAGGAGTAAATACTCTCAGATATCCTCTTACCTCAGTCCTCTTGTCCTTGAGCTTGTCAATAATACTCTGCGTGGCTAGCAGACACAACGGGCAGGTCGGTTTGTCATTCACTGTA